GGGAAGCTGACTCCCAGCCTGGCTGACTGCCATCCCCATGTCCCTGTGTCCCCGTGCGCAGATCTCACACAAGGCCGAGGAGTGTTTCTCCTTCAGGGCCCACCAACGATTCCAGGTGGGCTTGATCCAGCCCGCGGCCGTCACTGTCTACAGCTACTACAAGATCGGTGCGCCCCGTGTCCCCTTGTGTCACCCTCAGGTCCCCTCCACCCCCGCACTCTCCTCTGTGCCCCTCCTGCTTCCACAAAGTCTTACCTGTGTCCTCCCTCTGTGTCCCCTCCTGTCCCTTTGTCCTACCATGTCCCTGCTGATCTTCTCCCCATGCTTGTGTCCCCATGTCCCCCTAGGTCCCCTTGCATCCCCTGCTGACCCTCTCCCTCCACATGTCACCGCTCTGTCCCCATGTCTCCCACTGGTCCTTTCCCCTTGTGTCCGCCCCCAACCTTGTGTCCCCCTCATGTCCCTGTGTCCCTGCAGATGACCGCTGTACCCGTTTCTACCATCCGGACAAGAACAGCGGGCAACTGAGCAAGATCTGCTATGGGGACGTGTGCCGCTGCGCCGAAGGTGACATGGGGACACAGGGACATGGGGACAGACTGGGTCAACACTCCTACCATGATGGGACCCATCATGGCCGTGATGGGACCCATGATTGCCGTGATGGGACGTGTCATGGCTGTGATGGGACATGTCATTGACAAGATGAGCTGTGTCACAACTGTGATGGAGACATGTCCCTGCCATGATTGGACATGCCGCTACCACAATAGACCTTGTCATGGCCGTGTCCCCGTGTCCCTGCAGAAAACTGCTTCGTACAGCACAAGCAAGACGTCCCGATCACCGTCAACCAACGCATTAAGCGCGCCTGCGAGCCAGGAGTTGACTACGGTGGGACATGGGGTTTTAGAGGGACATGAGGAGGAAGGGGGGAGGACAGAGGGGCCCCCCACATGCAGAGGGGCCACCCTGGAGTGAGGGTGCTGTCTAGGGGTGGAGGTGACATGGTGATATCCCCCTCTCCAGTGTACAAAGTGAAGCTGATGGCAATGGAGCCGTCGCCGACCCATGACAACTACATCATGACCATTCTCTCTGTCATCAAGATGGGTACGAGCACCCCAGGGATAGGGGACAAAGCCACCCTGAGGGATGTGGTGGGGGTCACCTAGGGATGGGGACAGCCAAAGGGAGGGACACCCAGGTGGGTTGGTGTCACTAGGGTGGCTTGGGGGCCCCCAGGTGGGTTGGCATCAACCAACGGTGCTGGGGACACCCAAATGGGTTGGTGTCACCCAAGGGTGCTGGGGAGAGCTGAAGGGAACTGGTGTCACCCGTGGCTGATGACACCAGTGGGGTGGTGCCACCAAGGATGCCAGCAGCTCCCTGGAGATTGTGAGTCCCCACTGCGGGACGTGGGTGTCCCTGTTGTGTTGGGGTGGAGGTGACCTGTCACTTGTGTGTCCTCTCTTGGGACAGGCACTGATGAGGACCCAGCAGGAAGCAACCGGACCTTCGTGAGCCACTGGCAGTGTCGAGACACTCTGAGGCTCCAGATCGGCCAGGACTACCTGCTCTGGGGGCTGGCAACCGACTTGTGGGCCACCGGCAGCCGGTAGGGACATGGGGACGCGTGTGGGGACACGGATGGGGCTGCATCTGTGGGGACATGGGAACACGAGACATGGGACATTAGGGACATGAGTAAATGGGACATGGGGACACAGAGACACATGGACAAGGTGACACTGACACCTGAGTACACAGGCGCACCCCCCACCCCCCCAAGCCCAAGATTATCCAGTGTCTTGTACAGGGTTGTGCATCCCATTGTCCATCCCTGTGTGTCATCCCCCCCCTCAGGGTGCCACCCCCTTCTGACCCATGTCCCCTCTGTCCCCTCGCTGTCTCCAGCTTCTCCTACCTCATCGGCAAGGACACGTGGCTGGAGGCATGGCCCTCGGAGGCGGCATGCCAGGAGGCCGACCTGCAACCCATCTGCCAGGACTTTGTTGAGTTCGCCGAGGCCATGACCATGTTTGGGTGTCCATCCTGAGCGCGTACCCCCCACCCATGGGTGCCCGCCCCCCCCCCCCCTCCCTCCCTGTTCCCCCCCTTTTTTTGGGGGGTTAAAAAAGTCCTTTCTGACAGCCTGGCTCTGGATCTGCATGGTGAGGGTGTCAGGGGGATGTGGGGACACTGTAGGGGACAATGGGTCATGGGGACACTATAGAGGACACCAGGGTGGTGAGGCCTTCGTAGTTGTTGTAGGGACTTCGTAGGGGACAAGAGGGTGGCGGGGGGGACTCCATAGGAGATGATGGGGTCATGGGGACACCATAGGGGCCATGGGGACTTTGTAGGGGACAACAGGATTGGAGGGACTCCATAGGAGATGATAGGGTCTTGGGGACACCACAGGGGCCATGGGGACTCTGTAGAGGATGACAGATCTATGGGGATCCTGTAAGGGATGATGGGATCATGGGGACCCTGTAGGGGACAATGGGGTCATGAAGACTCTGTAGGGGACAACAGAGTTGTGGGGACTCTGTAGGGGATGATGGTGTCATGGAGACTGCGAGCGTGAGGACCCTGTAAGGGATGACAGAGCCGTGGGGACACCATAGGGGACAGCGGGGCTGTGGAGACTTCATAGGTGTCGTGGGGACTTCATAGGGGACAACAGGATTGTTTGGGCTCTACGGGGGACATGGGTACTCCATAGGGGACAACAGGGTCTTGGAGGTACCGTGGGGGATGCGGGGACTCCATAGGCGATGACAGGGCTGTGGGAACCCTGTGAGGGATGACGGGGACTCTGTAGGGAACGACGAGATTGTGGGCACCCTGTAGGGGACAACAGGGTTGGGAAAACTACGTAAGGAACCACAGGATTATGGGGAATGATGTGGTTGTGGGGTTCCATAGGTGACCACGCACTCTTGGGAGCTCCATAGGGGACTGTGGGGTCAAGAGGCCATGTGGGGCCGTATAGGCCTCTCTGGGACCATATGGGCACCTATGGGACTGTACGGGGCCGTATGGGGGGCTGGATGAGACCCTCAGGGTTCAGTCCACGGCGCTTGCTGTGTGGTGCAGTGCCCGGCGTTGCATGCCCCTCGGCACTGGATGGTGTTGCTTGGTGCGTAGTCCTTGGTGCACGGTGCTGCACGGTTCCCACGGCCTGAACCTCGCTGCAGGGTGCTGCAGGAAACTCGGCGCGCGGCCTCGCCGCGTGGTGCTGCTCGGTGCACGGTGCTGCTCAGCGCGCAGCCCTCGGCGCTGCACGACACTTGGTGCATGGCTCTCGGCGCGCAGCGCCGGACACCTCTTGGTGCTCAGTCGTCAGTGCACGGTGCTGCGCGCCGCTCGTTGCACGGTGCTGCGCAACCCTCGGTGCACGGTGCGGCACGCCTCGTGGTGTGCGGTGCTGCGTGGCGTTTGGTGCACGGTGCTGCACGCTGCTGCGTGGCATTCGGTGCAGGGTGCTGCTGGGCACCCGGTGCTCAGCACCCAAGGCCAGCACCCGGTCGTGGTAGGCAGGGTGCCGCAGCCAGTGGTTTCCTGCCTTCCCAGCAAGGCCTCGCACGGGCGGCGTTTTCCGGTGACTTATCTGGCGTCCGCAGCCGGAGCAGCCCCGGGCATGGTGGTGCACACGCGTGGGGCGCGCACGTGGGCGCACACGTGGGTGCAAATGTGTGGGCGCACGCCTAAGCGGGGCTGCATGCCTCCCTGCGGCTGCAAACGCGCGTGCACAGGCGTGTAGCAGGGGAGCATGAGCGCTCGCACAAGTGTGTGCGCACAGCGCTGGTAGCACGAGCACATGTGCACGCACGCGTGGTGCAAGCGTGCGACGGCACAAGTGTGCGTGCATGCCGCAAGCGTGCGTTAGCACGCGTTTGCGCGCTAGCAGGAGTGTGTGTGTGCACGTGCACAAGTGTGTTCGTGCATGGTGCAAGCGTGCAATAGCCCAAGAGCACGTGCACAAGCGTGAGCGTGCGTGACACAAGCGTGTGCGCGCACGACAGGCTTGTCCATGTGTGCGCAAGCACGCGCGTGCCTGATGCCCGCGTGCAACGGCACAAGCATGCGTGAGCCGGCCTGTGCGTGGTGCAAATGTGTTGCACGCGCGTGTGAACACGCACACAAGCGTCTACCAGCGTGGCAATCAGCCAAGCGTGCGTCCCCCTGGGCTCCATGGTGTCCCCACTGCTGGGGACAAGGTGTGTGTGGGGGGGTGGCCGGGAGCCCGTGTGTGCGTGGCGGAGAGCGTCACCCCCCCCACCCCGTGTCACCCCATGTCCTGCCGCTTTCCGCATCGGCCTCGCCGTGGGGACACGTGACAGCTGGGAGTGTCCCCAAGCTGTCCCCAGCTTTCCCCAGGCTGTCCTCAGCTTGTCCCTCCAGAGCATCCCCAAATTGTCCCCAGCATCCCAGGGCCACCGTGGGGACAGGGTGACAGTGGGGTCCCTGATGTCCCCAGCTGCAGTAGTCCCTGGGGATGGGGACACACGCACCCCCCCCCCAGTAGCCCTGGGGACACCGGTGACCCTCAGGACATCCCCAGTCCCGGTGACACCCGTGGGGTCACCGATGGCCCCGAAAGTGGGGTGATGTGGTGGCACCTCTGTGGTCCCCATGGGGAAAGTACAGGGGACACCACAGGGGGGGCACAGCGTTGGGGACATGGGGGGGATGACGGGACGGGGGACAGAGACCCCCCCCGGGGACACAAAGGGGGTGACACCGTGGGGACACTGCGGTGGAGGGGACAAGGACCCTTTAGGACAGCGGTGGCACCGGGAGGGTGGGTGATGCCACGTGGCCATGTCCCGTCCGTCCCCCCCCCCCCCCCCCCCCCCGCCGTGTCCCCATGACAGGGGGAGCCACCCCGGGGTGGTGACACCGACGGGTGACGTGGGCCCCGTTTCCTCCGGGTCCCATAAAGCGGGTGCAGGTCCCCAGGACGGCGGGTGACACACCGGGGGTGGCCCATGGGGGACGGCGTCTTCGCCCTGGCGGGGCCCTGGCCACCGTTACCCCCCCCCAGGGCACCCACGGGTGCTGCCCCCCCCCCCGTCCCGGCGTGGCGGCGGCGAGTCCGGGGGGGGGCTTGGGGACGCTGGGTACTGGGGACACTGGTGGCCCTGGCACTGGTGGCGGTGGCGGTGCAGGGCTGGGTGCTGGCGGGGGTCCGGGGGGAGCTGCAGAGGGTGACAGCGCGGCTGCAGGTGAGA